AGGTAGTGGAGTTTTCATTTGCCACCAAAATGTACATAGCCATGCATGTGTGTATCTGAAATCCTAATGATAATCAAACAAATCAATTAAGTTTGGACATTTAAAACTACAACATCTTCCTTCCTCAACATACAATTCAAGAACGTGACTGAGGTAAATTCTAGACCAATCTGAAGCCAAAGTTAAAATTTCCAGTTTGTAACAAACAAGAAACCAACTGTTGTAATTTCAAAATGAACCATTCTATCTTGGAATTGTATCCAAATAAGAATATGTAGGATTTGGTATTTATACATGTTTCTATCTATAATCGCGATGCCCAAAGTGAAAGGGTAGTTGTAACTATCTCAGGCTTGCATATTGAGTTCTGAGTGTCCCAGGTTTTAATGTCACCCTTACAACCCTGAAAATCTGAGAGCAAAGAAAGTATCTATCAATGCACATGCTCAACTAAACTTACCTTTCCAAGCATCAAATCTAAATCTGCTCCATTTGTTGTCAAAGGAGAACATTCATCAGTCTGAATGATATTAGTTACATCAAAGTCAGCATCTGGGGTTTGTATCATCTTTGAGAGACCATCGACAGCGCTCTTCAGTTCATACAAGCGTTTCAGAATCTCTTCCTGGCGGGATTCAAGTGCCTGAAGTGACAGGTCAGCCTCTTCCTGCAGGAGAGGTAGAAATGTTCACTCAGCTCAGTGTCAAAATAGTCCACAGCTCACTTGACGGTAAGCTTTGAAAGACTTCAAACACATTCAAATAACTGGAACATCGTGGAATGCCATGGTTCTACATCTATTGGTTGTCTCTCTTGCCTGTGTGAGTGTGGTGAGAGATAGGTTATTTAATCAAATCTCTGAAAACTTCCTGCTTAATGTATTTTTTTAAACCACTAGCTACAGCAACCTCCATAATGTAGTAAAAATCAAGGCCGCCACCACCACAGAAATGTAAAGTTAGCAGTGATGTGCTGAATTAAAACCTGAAAAAACAAAGTTAGCTCATCAGCCCAGAAGAGCAGACTGAGTCTGTGCGAGGCTGCCAAACACAGAAACTTTTTGACAATTCAGGTAATTAAAAAGTAAAAACCCTGCAGGTTTAGATGGATGGTGTATCATATGAAATCACTCTTTGTAGTCGTTCTTTGTTTCACAGAATATAAATGATAGAGGAAAAAAAAGACCACAGGCTTTGTTACATGTTAATCCCAAAGCACCTTTTTGTTACCTCAGTTATCTTACAAGTCTCTTTATCTTACAATGCCACCTCTTCTAAAATATGAAAAATACATTACTGTGGGAGGTTTTAAGTCTACAGACTTAAAAGATTTTTCTTCAACATTATTTTATATAGATAATCAATTTCTAAGCATCCTGAATAAGGATTAATGAAACCAAACCTATCGACCAAACTTCCTTCTTTCCATCTAATGGATAAAGAGAGAACAAGCGAGGTATCCAAGTGAAATCCTGATACCCACTTACACATTATTGTCAAGGCCAAGACACAGAAATGCTTTTCAGTGACCATTATTTGACTCATACACAATTCCATGAAGTAAAACCCACTCTCACAGGAGACTGGTAGTTAATACATTGCTGTTGGAATGGCAGGGTATCTTAATAAGTGCTCCTGTGAAGTTCTGCCCCAAGGCTACTCCTACTCAGCATCTCCACCAGCAACCTGGGTGAGGGCACAGCAAGAACTCACTGGAAGATGTGATGGCATCAAGCTAAAAACAGCCACAAGCATCCTGGAATAATTCAAAGCGTTCCTGACTCTGGAGAGGGGCTGAAGTCTGCTAGATTAATGTAATTTGCATTTTTGCCTTAAAGTAACTGAGACTAGAAAGAGAAGGTGTGTAGCTGGCCAGTTCCTATCCAACAGCAGAAATGAAAATAGACCTGAGCCAAGAGAGTGACGACACAGTAGGGAGGGACATGGCCTACTGGGACACAGTCACCGACTACGGGCTTGTGAGGCCGCAGCCGGCACGGTGCTGCGAACACAGAAACTGGGACACACGAGAGCCCAGAAAAGCCAAGCTGAGAATTACCGAAGGCTTTACAAATATTACAGAGAAATGCCTGGAAAAGCTGAGCTTATTTAACGCTCGAACGAGCCACTGATGAGCAAGGAGGAACCAGCGCAGCCTGCGCTATCGCGCACTTCCTGGCGGATCGCGGGGACCAGGCCCTTGGGAGCTCCCCGGGGCCGGAGCCGGCTCCCAGCCCCCGAAAGCA